CTCTTGGGATCACTCCCATATTTCAAAAGGGGGACGGCTCACCCTCATACAAGCCACATTAACCAATCTGCCCACCTATTTTTTATCTATCTTCTCCATCCCAACAAAAGTGGCCAAGGACATCGAAAAACTCATGCGGAATTTCTTGTGGAAAAGCGCCAATAACACGAGGGTTCACAATTTGGTCAGATGGGAACATGTCCAGAAGCCCATTGAAGAAGGGGGGCTTGGTCTCTGCTGCATCAAAGACAAAAATAGGGCTCTTCTTGCCAAATGGAGCTGGAGATTTCTTATGGAGGATTCTGCCCTATGGAGGAAAGTTATTGTAGCAAAATACGCCATCACAGACCACCGAAACCAGCTACCAAACCCAAACCAAGGGTTTGTGGAGGGACATTGACAACCATAAGCCCCTGTTTTTTGACAGAATAGCATACAAAGTGGGTATAGGCTCCCTCCCAAGATTCTGGAAAGATATTTGGCTCAACACAGAACCCCTCTGCAACACATACCCCCAGCTTTTTGCCTTGCACAATAGAAAATTGGGCACTGTACAAGACTTTTCATCTTCAATAGACAACTCTTGGGACATCCAATTTAGAAGGCATCTAAAGGATGAAGAGATTATGGAGCTGACATCTCTCTTGCATAATCTCTCCACAATCTGCCTCACATCCAACAGGGACAACATTACTATCTGGAGATTGGAACCAAATGGACATTTCAGTACTTCCTCCCTCATCAAAGACATACAACGGTCAACAACAACCCAGATCTCACCCTCTCTGTACCGAACCATATGGAAGGACCACTACCCCAAAAAGATTAAGTTCTTCCTTTGGGAATCTAGTCTCCATGCTATAAATACACAGGATAAGCTCCAAAAGACGTATGCCCTTCATGAGTATCTCCCCACACCGGTGCATTTTGTGCAAGCATCATGGTGAAACCATCGGGCACATTTTTGTCACTTGTGACTTGGCCTCAAACTTATGGTATAAGCTTCTTTCCTTGTTTGGTTGGTCGACTGCATTGACCACAGATATCTCAAAGCYCCTCGATTATACYSTCAATGGTCACCMTTTCAAAAAGGRGAAACTTTACCTWTGRMATCATTTTGTCCGAGCTTTACCGTGGATGATATGGACAGAAAGAAATCAGCGAATTTTCCAAGATAGGGAGCGTACACATCACCTCATTTTTGAATCTATAGTTTTTTTGGTTATCTCTTGGTGTAAATGCTCCCCTCTTTTCCATCATTACAGTTATGCCTCCCTCTTGTCTAACTGGAGAGCCTTTTTGTAGCCCTTTTCTTGGGCCTTATGTTCTCATATTTCATATATCAATGAAATAGTTTCTTTATCCAAAAAAAAAAAAAGTTATAGAAAATTATCCAACAAGTTTGTTGGGTTCTTTGAGTGTTTTCTTACAAGCCTCACTTTTCTTGCTTGATTTTGACTTCTTCTCGACCACTCCTTTTCATGAAGTTATAGAAAATTAAAATCTTGAAAAAGATTAAATATTTTTCTTGGCTAGTTTCTTATGTGGGAGGATAAACACCATGATTTTCATTCAAAGGTCCTCATCATTGATCTTTCGTACTCAAACGGTGCTTTCTTTGCAGGGAAGGTTTTGATGATTAGAAGACCATGATCATATTAACCGACTGCCCTTTCTACATATTGATTCCAATCATGTACTTTTTAGTTGTTTTCACCCCTTTGTTGAGGATGTGTCATGCTATGTTTGATTAGATTTTTTGTGACCTAGTAGGATTAGGTGTAAGCTTGTTTTTTTATTTATTTTGAGTTTGTTGATGGTTAAGTTTTTGTTGCTAGTTAGTTGAGTTGAGTTGTTAATTCATTTTGGTAGTTGGACTAGTTTATTTTAGTAATTGGCATGCACATTAGGTTGATAGTTGACATATTCTATTGAAGAAAATAATCTCTTGGATGGAAGAACGTTTGAATATGTTAGTATTGAAATAAAGAGCTTTTGGATGTGGAGGTTGCAATTATTACTTACTCTCTCTCCAAAGGGGGGTAGATTGTTGTGGCTGATAAGATTCTTATCTTGGGAAGATATTTGGTCTTATCTCCCTTCAAGTGATCCCTTTGGGTTTTTACTTGTAATTTGTTTAGATATTTCCCCCTCTCGTGTTGCTGAAAATTTGGCTTTTCATAATTCATTATTATTTCTAGTTGGTTGGCCTCTGGCCCTGTTTTCTTATTTTTGCTGTTGTTGTTCTTTCAGGCATCTTTATGAATCTCTCTTTCTCTCTCCCTCCCTCTTCTACCAACAATCTGGGCGTTTCATAATTAATTATCTTTAGTAAATTTAGTGGGGAAATGTTTTGCATGCAGGTCATAGTCGTATTTCTTTGCTCTTAAATAATACCGAGTTTACTTTTCTCTTATTGGTGGAGTCTGAATTTGTAATTTGCTTATGTCGTTATACGTGTTAATAGGCCAAATGTGATATTTAGAATATGAGTTGGGAAAGAAAAGTTGTTTTCTTAATCAATTGAGGACATTTAATGTTTTCATTTCACTTTTTGCAAAAGCCACATTATTTGCAGAGCACTCATAGTCATTTAGTAATTATATAACTATCCTTCCTAGCTGTTCAGTACATTCTTTAAGTTTCTTTACATTCGCACTATAGTTATCTTTCCCGAGAAAATAGTGCTTGAAACGTTCTTAGTTGTTATTTACGTCCCTTGTCCAATGCCTATTGACAAATGGTTTGTACATTGTCTTAACTCTTTCTTTTATGATCTGTAGGTGAACGGAGATTTCCTCGATGGAATTATTTCCAACCAGCCGACCAGAAATGTTGCTGTACTCTTTTATGCCTCCTGGTGTCCCTTTTCCCTTGAGATGCTTCCTGCATTTGACACCCTCAATTCAATATTTCCTGAAATTGAACACTTGGTGATTGAACAATCTTCAGCAATGCCAAGGTAAGTAGCTATATTGTCCACAGATCATTTTCATCATTTTTGCTAACTTCTTAAAATTTTAGTCCCTACCCAATTTCCCCTTCTTCTTGGGTTGGGTTGGTTTGTGGTGAGGTGGGGGGAATTATCAGACTTTTGGGAGCATTTGCATGCATTCTGGGAGAATCCTCATTCTTTGACATGTTGTATGGTTAGTTATTTCTTCAATTTTAAGAATAATATTTTAGTAACCTTGGCCAACATACTCTTTTTGAGTAATGTTACCAACTTTACTGATAATGATAAGTATAACCCTAGTATGTGTTACAAAATCCTTATATATATTCATAGAAAATAGTATAATTATGACTCTTTAACATGTAACATGTTTATGTTAGATAAAGAAAATGTCAAAAGGTTTTTATATGTGAGATATGACTTTAATATGTGTAACTCTTAAGCTTATTAATGACCAGAATGTTGATGACCTTTCTCTTTTTAACATTCCCTCCAAATAAACTAATGGACATTTCACTTGGTCTAACATGAGAGAGGGCCGTAGAGTCCTCCATCGGTTGGTTTCTTGTTGTGGTTGTGGCCAATGAATGGGATGGATGAACCCTTTAGTGATTCAAAGGCTTTTAGCTTTCCGGATCCAGATCAGATCACTTCTCTTGTATATTTGAATGGTGCCCCTCTTGATGAAATTTGAAATCATGTGATTTCATCAAGCTTCTTCTTCTGTTGCTTCTCTTGATAATTGGTGGAAGGATGTCGTTAGGGAAGGCTGATTAGGTTTTTCCTTCTAAAAAGATTTTAAAGAATATGAAAATTTGTTATGTTATTCAGATTTCTGAGCTGTTCTTTCTTAAGTAATATTCTAGGCCTGCTTGATGAGGTGTTGGGTCTTAACAAGAACAAAGAATTTTGAGGAAGTTTTGTTGAAAAGGGGAAGGCACTTATTCAAGAGATTCTACAACATCACTAACTGTTTCTTGTCGGTTTTGAGGATCCCTAACAAGATCAGTTAAGCGGCTGAAAGATCTTTTGAAATTTCTTTGGGAGGACCTAACATGGATGATGGGTTTCCAATTAGTTAGTTGGACCATAGTTTCTCTTCCTATAAATCTTGGTGGTTTGGGTACTAGTAATCTGTATAGCAAGACATTACCCTCCTTTGCAAAAGGCTCTGGAGATTTATGGAGGAGCAAGGTTCTTTGTGGCATAAGGTAGTGGTGACTGGTGAGTAAATATGGTGTTTTTTTTACTACAGTTGGTGGCTGGGCTCTTGTTCATATGTTAGTTCTAGTCCCTAGAGACAGAGAACTATTTTGAGCTTCATAGGTATCATGCAGGAAAGATCTAGTTTTGTGGTGGACAACGGTTGTTCCCTTAGATTTTGGAAGAATCACTAGTGGGGTTCTCAGCCTATGCTTTCTGTAGATTATTTGAACAATGGGGTGGCTGATTGTTCAGGACAATCAATCCCGTTTCTAGTCAGCTATTTCAAGGAGGAATTTGGATGGTCATGAACCGTCTCTGTGATGTCTTGCTTATCCTTGTATTATCTCACTGAAATGGGAGATTCCAAAATATGGACCACCTATAGTTATTGCTCTTTCATACCTCTTTTAAGGGTATCACTAATGCAGGAGCTCCCATTCTTGGTCCTCATATTTGTAAACCCATTTGCGACAGGTATGTATGAACAGGGCAAAAATTTCTTGCGGAGTTCTGCACTTGGAGGCTTGCACACTCTCAATAAGTTGCAAGTTCCCTGGTCTTCAAATCTGCCCTACTGGTTTTGCTTGTGCAAATCTAGTGGACGGTAAATCATTTTCTCAGATGCCTTTCTGACTTAAAATTTAGATGGAGCTTTTGGAGGTTTTCAATCAGAATGTGATCCTTCTCAACTCTGTAGTTTTTGTTTAGTTATGCTTAGCGATAATTCCCTGAAGGCCAAATCTAAATTCCTTTGGCTTAGAGATGCATCTTATGGGAAGTTTGGTTGGAGAGTTATAGAAGATTCTTTCAAGATATGGAAATGAACATGTTTACTTTCTGGGAGTATATTGTTTTCAGCTCCTCCTTTTGGGTATGTTAGTGAAGTTCATTTGCGGCTATGAGCTTTGTTTTATTTTCACCAACCGGGGGGTTTTGCAAGTTCTTTGATTTTTCTTTGGGTTTTTCCATTGGAGGATCTTTAGCTGTTGAAATTTCTATTCACCAACTCATGTTTTCGAAGGAAGAATAATTTTCAATTGTTCTAAAAAACAGCTAAACCTTTTTGGTTGGTTTGACCTTGTTTCTTTGTGGCGCCTTGTTCTTTCAATCTTATTAACAAAAGTTGGTTTGTTATTGAAAAATAAAAAACAGCTGACTTGGAGAAGAATTAAGAGAACTAAACAATAGTTGCTTCACGGTCGTTGACAATCATATTAAAGCTATAGTTACAAAAGAATTTCTTGTGGTTTGTTATCCACCCCGAGGCTGCATGCTGTACACTGAGGCAAAAAGAATCTTCATTGGACTTCTTGTCTTCAAAAAGCCTACCTTTCCTTTATCTCTAAAGAAGCCATAATAATGTCCTAGCTGCACAATTCCATATGATTTGAACTTTACCCTTAAGAAGAGCACCACCAAAAAAATTGCAGCATTCAGTCATCGATCTTCTTAGGCATACTACAAGTCGAGAAACCCAGTTTGGAAGAAATGATTGCCGAACATGGGCAGTGCAAAAAAATGTGAGCCAGATTCTCATCATTTCTACAATAGAGACCGCACACAGGAGGGGACAAGGACCAACTAGGGAAATGTCTTTGGAGTTTTTCCGCTGTGTGGACACTTCTATAAAACAGACACCAAAGGAATAATTTGACCCTTTTTAGAACTTTAAAATTTCAAATCATATTAACCGCTGGTGGATTCTTTGTGTGAATATTAAGCATGTTGCTTCTTGGTGGGTTTCAATCCACAAGAAGTTTTTTTTGTTTTGTAATTACAGTTTTTTTGTAATTACGGTCTACTACGGTCTACAGTTGATTTTACACTATTGGAAAGCTTTGACTGTATAGCTTTTGGGGAGGGTTTTATCTACCCTCAGCCTCTAAGTTGTTTCCTTTTGGGTTTTTCCTGCTCATTAATTAACACCCTTCTCTTGTTTCTTATATAAAAAAGAAAAATTGTATTAACCACTGGAGAATTCAATCTGGCCAAAGGCCTGACAGAGAGGAGAAAGCTGATTTTGCTGAAAAAAAATGCCTGAAATGTCCGCTTTCCACCAAATAATCCTTACCAAGCCCGATTTGGAAATTTTCTCAGTGAAGGCCACCCACCTAGAATCCCCCAGTCAAAAAAGTTCCGCCTAAAACCAAGATTCCGAGTTTGTGAACTTCCTCCCAAAATTCAGCAATGGTAACCCCTTTCTTGTAGGATAAAGAATATAAATCAGGAAAGAGATAGGAAAGTGGGAGGAATCAGCCCAATTACCTTCCCAAAACCTTACCTTTGACGCTGTAAAAATGATCATATTCACAAAAAAATTGTCTATTCTTCTCAATATCCACCCAAGGCCGCCCACAAGCAGAACCTTTAGCCGCATTAGAAAACCAACCGAGAGGCTGTAATCCACATATCCATGCAATCACTTTACATCATAAGTTGGAATCTTCATGAGCAAATCTCCATAGCCAGTTTAGAAGCAATAACCAACGCCTACACCTCCATACTGTTGAGGCAAAGCAGTCCATTTCCATTTGACAAGGTGGCTGCCTTGCTTATCACTCCCTCTGTCCAAATAAAGTCCCTCAAGAGCTTTTCCATCTAATTAATAACCGCTTTTGGAGCTTTAAGAATTGTGAAAAAGCAAGGAGCATAAATAAAATCAAAATTGAATTACAAGTTTTGTCTTTGAACTCTGTATCGAATATGCTTCTGAACTTTAAAAAGTATCTAATAGACCTTTGAACTTCCAATTTTGTGTCTAATAGGTCCTTGAACTTTTAATGTTGTGTTTAATAAGTCCCTTTGTTATTTTTTTATTCACTCCCTTGGGAGTTTTTATCTTTGAACATCTTATGTTCTTTTTCATTCATCGATGAAAAGTTCGTTTCTTGTTAAAAAAAAATCTTGAGGAGCTGAAAACGGTCCACCCAATCAAAAGACTTGTCTTAAAAAATCTAGATTTTTTCCCAACCAAATATCCGAGAGAATAGCTTCGAAAGGATTAACTCAATAATTTAGCTAGTGAGCAACCTCTTTGCCTTGTTTTGGGCTCTCTTTGATTTTGAATACAATCAGTTTGTTTCTTATAAAAAAAAAAGCAACCTCTTTAAAGTGTTGAAAAATTTCAAGTAAGCATCTAGTCTGAATGTGAAGTCTATAGTGTGGTGACATACACTGATCATTCTTGTGTGAGGGGTTGCCAGTGAAGAATTTTTGGCTTCCTTTATGAGGGCGACCCTCAGAGAAAGGAGTTTTGAACTCCAGTGTCTCTGCAAGATAGTACAACTGTATTGTTGTTGGTTGGGATGCTTTTTGTTTTTTTATTTTTTTTTTCCGGATGAAAAAGCCGAGAAAAATGAAAATACAAAAGGGCATATAAAATAACAGCCCAACAAAAAGAGCCAAATTAAAAGGATGGATTCCAATCAAGCAAGATCGATATTCTAGGGAGTAATTACCATAAACTTTGGATAGTGGTGCCCAAAGAGAAATGTGAAGCCGAGCTAGAGCCCATGCCTCTCCCCAAGATCTCTCCACCGCTCTAAAAATCTTATTGTTTCTTTCATTCCACAAACCCAACAGTACAACAAAGACGGTAAAGAGAAACGGAAAACTGAACAAGGGCCCACACCTCTTCCCAAGATCTCTCCACTCCTCTAAAAATCTTATTTTTTCTCATTCCACAAACCCTATAAAACAACAAAGAATTTCGTCTGTTACAAAAATCAACCCCTATCCCTAAATAGAGGGTGATGGAGAGCCTCCTCCAACATCGCGTGAGTAAGGCAAACCCAAAAAGTCTATGATGAAGCGAACAGGCAAATACAAAGGTCCTTTGATCAAGATCTGCACCATTCAGAAAAGAAGACTGCCTCATGATGTAATCAAAAGTATTAACCCTGCCATGTAAAACCTGCCAGACAAATCCTGGAGTGCCTCGTTTTTTTGGTGGAATAAATCCATACATTTGATTTGGATTAAACTTGCGGGATGGGACCTGATGCAAGAAAGAAATATTGTATTGACCTCATTTTTGTTTGCTTGAATTTGATAATTGGTAATGTGAAAGAAGACGATCAAGACTCTTTTGGTTATAGTTTATTATTGTTGCATTATTTAAATGATTTTTCTTTTAAATGTATATTTGTTGGTCAGTTATTATGAATCTTAAGATGCATTTAGTTGACTGATTAGATGTTGAAAATCACTGTTCTAGCATAACAATGCTTGAAGCTGTTAGATCTATAATCTCTTCTTAATTAGTTGTTAATTGTTATTTGTTAAAGATGCAACTGTCAGTTCCTAATGATTTATTGTGAACATGTTCTTGGCAGTGTCTTCTCAAGATATGGGATTTATAGCTTACCATCTATATTAATTCTAAACCAGACTTCAAGGGTGCATTATCGTGGTCCAAAAAAAATTTCTTCCATTGTTCAATTCTATCAGAGAATAACAGGTAAGTTTCCAACAAGTGTTCTGGTTTTGTTTCAACTGAGATTAATTTATAATGCTGGCTTCTTCCTTTCCCCATGATAATCCTCACAAATCAAAATGATGGGGTGAGGGGGTGGAGAAGGCAAAGTTCAATACCGACAAAGTAAATACCGTCAAAGTAATCATGGACTGAGCTGTAGAAAGCTCGATTGTAAATTATGGGTCGACTATTTTCAATTTGTTGTCATGTATTTCTTATCTAAAAGTGGAAAAAGTGTTGTGGATTGTACATCTATTTGTTCGTTCACCTGACATTTTGTGCTCTCAGGAATGGAGCCAGTTGAACATTATGATGTTTATCAGCCGATTATTACCCAAGGAGGTGGTGCAAAACTAGTCATCCAGTCATTGAAAAGTTCATCATTTGATAAAATAGTGAAAAAGGAACCTTACTTGGTGTTCTCCATGATTTTCCTTTGTTTGAGAGTGGCACTGCTGATTTTCCCAGAGATGTCATCTCGGCTAAGAGCATACTGGGTCTCCCATGCTCTCAATTTGAACCTGCAAGTTTTCGGCGAGACGAGCCAGATAATGGGGCGCGTTCTTCAGATAGTCGATCTGAGAAGAGTTTGGGCCAAGTTAAGACTTAGCAAAACCAGAAGCTTCCACGAGAGTGCCCGGAATGCCAGGGTTTGGGCATCATCTTTGGCCTCTGTTTCCTTGGGCAAGTCTTCATCAACCAGCTCTACCTAGTTTTTGATCATAACCCAATCTTGTAAAAATTGAGAATGGGGAATCACATATCACATGGAATTTGGGTAACCTTGTCTCACTAACACGTCCTTATATATCTTATTAATCTACGCATATGGCTGTCGGTTTTGTCCTTCAATTGAGTTCTCTGTCTCGTGTTTCTCTTTTCCTTTTCATTTCTTAATACGTAGGGAGGAAAAAAACAGGCTTGTAAATTTGAGAATTGCTTCCCTTTGTTGTATATTGTCTTGGAAGAAAGAACATCTCTACACAACACTAGTTACTGTATGAACATTCTTGTTAACAGCTCCAAAATATGTCTTCTGTATAATTATTATAAAGTTGGTCTGATCTCAATTCCCTTTCATGGTGTTTCTGAATTAGAGGTGTAAAAACTTGCTCCACTTTTTTTTTTTTTTTTTTTTAAAAAAAAATCTTCCAAGGGATTTACATAATCATGGAAAACTAATTGTAGATAGGTTTGAAGAATACCATGTTCACAAGCAACTGTCACTAAAATCTTTGGAAATATCCAGGAAGCTTTATTCGAGTAGAACTTCACATTCTCCATGACAGTGATGTAGATATTGAAGCTGGGCAGGACGTCAATGTCGATCTCTCAGTTCATTCCCCACCGTGGACGCTTCCTTCTTCAACTTCCATCCAATAATTCAAATACCGCAGAGTTAAATTGGAAGTTCTGAACATTACTTTTCGGAAAAATGGGTCTCGAAGAGTGGGAACTCCTCGATTGCAATGAAGACATGGATCAGAAGATAGCTTCCAGTTTAGATCGATCAATTGGCAGAGACGCATTCGATGAACACGAGATCGGTGTGCAAGATGATGAGGACGCCGTTTCACAAGTTTCCGGCGCCATGAAAAAGGACTCGCCTAGGTTTTCGATCGCGGCGGAATCAGATGTGGAGGAGGAGGTAGAAGGCAAGGAGGACGTGAATTCAGGAAAAATGAATACGGCGATGGAGAAGAGAGGTTTGGCGGTACAAAAATGGGGGAGAGCGGCCATGTGCTCGTTCGGAATTGCTGTGGCCGCTACAATTTGCAGTGTGTTATTGGGAAGCCATGGGCACCAAGGTGGGGGAAGCAATAAGCAGGATCAGAAGAACCGAATAATCTGCCCTTGTGAATAAGCCAGCGCCGCCATGGTTGCAGGCCGAAGCATGAAGCTGCAGAAACCTTCACCTTCGAAGAATTCTTCTTCTTCTTCCTGTTTGAATATGAAAATGATAAGGGCAGTTTCCATTATTTCTCTCTCTCTGTTCATATCTTCGGTGGAGCATTTGTAGTGAGTAAATATGAAATCCTTGTTGAATTTTATACTTCCTTTTTTTGGTTAATCACACCCTAAGATATGAACCCACTATATATGTTTAATCAATTTTTTTTTTCTAATATAATATGTGGAGATGGGGTCAAACTCACGGAGATAAAGATAGAGATATATGTAGTGAATTTTTTTTTTTAATATTATGTTTTATCCTTTCTTTCAATTATTAAATATTATTTATCAAATGTTTTTGTTCAGTTACGTCAACAAGGGGAGAATTCACATGTGATTAGAGTGAGAGAAGTGATTTTATTAAGTGTATAGTTGGCTTTTGGATTGATTATCATATTGTCTTGAAAAAAGTGGAAAAATTATAGTTTTGGTAATTGAGGTTTGAAAAGTCAACTAATTGACATAACAGAAGAGGTTGTGGTAATCTAATGACTTAGTCAAATATAATAAATTTTATATTATATTATGGTGATTAGACTAGGTAGCATCTCCTTTATTCATCTCTGTTACACAGCGTCTTTTTACTCGCTTGGCCCCCAAGCATTGAAATTCTGGTTGTTGTTGCCTCTGCGATTCCCATATCTGAAAATCCAATTTGTTCCAAATTTGGACCGAACTTTTTGTCACTTCTATTGCCATTCTTGTTATCCCTACCACCTACTACTGAGCCTCACTTTTTTGCGACTTAGGTTCCTGTTGGGAGCAGGAGCAGATCCACCTGGCCGACATAGTGGATTGCAATGGCTACTTTTAATTATTATAATTTTTAAAAAAACAAAGGGATCAAATCACTTACTTTTATGTGTGCAGACTCCACAGATGATCTTTCTCGATATTCTCGATTTGTAGGAACCAGCATGTGAACACTTCTGGGAGAGTAAAGGAAGACCTCGTTTATTCCTATGACTCTTGAGAGGAGAGGGAGAGAGAAGGTGTTCCATTGGATTAACGCCAATAGATCTTTTTGAGCCAAAATCCTAATGGACTAATTAATTTTCTAATTAATTATTGGAATTAAAAAATCATTTAATTATTTTATCGACTCAAACTCATAGGTTTGGGTCCACATAAGCCAAATCAAATGCATTGGACTTCAAAAACTATCTAATTGGGTCATAGTATTATTTCATTGAAATTTAATTTGAAAGACGAAAGTAACCACTTGATTCTTGAAGACACACCTATAAGCCTCAACCAAGAGATTTTGATACCTATTTCTAGAGTCCTTCATTATTACGAATTTATAACTAATTTTGCTACATGAATAACACATAACGAACATAAGACAAGAATTTCTTTTTAACAAATTGGTTTTGCACATTACTTCTCTTTACGAAATTCTTCCTTAGAGCATTTTCAATTTAAATCAATTACGCATCATATGATAATCTTCAACACTATTATGAATACGAGTTTTAATGATAGTTAAAAATGTCAATTCGTGACAGTTTATAACAGTCATTGAATTGTCCCTCAAAGAAAGAGAAAACATGACAGTTTTTGAAAAATTGTCATTAATATGTTCATAAAGACAATTTAAAATTGCCACGAACCAAAATTCCATAATAAGCAAAAAAACATGATGTTTGGGGGTAAAAATACCTTGGACACGTGGAGGACGCTTATTGGTGTTTAAGAATTAAAATATCCCAGCTCCACCTCGAACCTGCCGAAGAAGTTGGGTTCGCCCATGGGGAAAAGGCTAAGTGTACATGCCGAAGTCCGATCTGATGGAGGTCCGACCTACTCGGAGCCCGACAGGTCCGATATGGGAAAAAACATGTAACCGCCGGTCGTGAGTACTGTCGGATCTCCCACCTATAAATAGAGGGTCTCATTTCACGCTCAGGTATTGAATCTCACCTCGAACTAAATACGGAGTTCGACCTATACTGACTTGAGCGTCAGAGTGTTTACCCTCTTGTGCAGGTCCAGTTTTGTGTTCAGGTCGAGCCGGGGACCGGGTTCGAGCTAGGTTCGTAAAGTGTCGTTGTGCAGACATTTGCATAAACACATGACAAAACAAATTTCATGATAGTTTATAATGGTCACTAAAATAATTAAAAAAATGATATTCCAATCAAGAAAAATTTAATGACCGACAACTTATAATTATCATGAAATGTATTTTAACGACAGTTTATAAACGTCATGAAAACTTGTACAGTGACAATTTTATAAGCATCAAGCAACATTTAATAATGATAGTTTATAGCACCATGAAAAATAATGTAATGACAATTTAAAATTTGACAATGACATTTTATAATCGTCATGAATCTATTAAATATGATGATATTTGTATCACAATTGTGTTGAACAAAAATTCTTAAATGGTCAAGAAAAGTTCGAACATACAATTTTTATTTGTCACAGAAAGGTTTTTAATGACATTGTTTTAGTGTCACCAAACATATATTGTTGACACAACTACAATTATTACTATTTTTTTTATATAACTGTCATAACTATTGAAAGAATAATTTTTAAACATCACATATTTTATACTATTTCAATGATGGAATAAACCTGTCATAAAATGTTTTTTCAAAAAGTTTTTTTCCACAATTATACAGTCAATTATACCTATTACACAAATAAAAAGTACATGTATAAACATATGCAAACCAAGAAGTCACATATAGATAAACCAAGTATTCACATATACATAAACCAAGTATTCACACATATATAAATCTCATATACATACATCAAGTATTCACTGGTAACACAACAAACATGGCTCATAAATCACATAGTTGTAATTAAGCTTCTCAATGACAGTTATTGCAAACCTAGCAAGAATACAATATCAAATATTGGTCAACAACATAATAATTGGGAATGTGTCAAATTACAATGTATGGCTAACATACTAGCGTACTTGGGGGGGATCGAACTCACAATCTCTTGTTTGGAGATATATACCAATTACCGCTGAGCTATGCTCACTTTGGCTCCTAACATATTAATTGGGGGAGGGAGTGTTTGGAATAAGATATAATATCCATACATGTCGAAGCTACACCGATTTCTCGCTTAGGAGATGATTTAAGGGGTGGGTTAAGGACCTTCGTTTTTGGCAAATGAGGGGTTGATTAAGGACTTTGTTTATGCAAAGGTCTGCACAACGACACTTTACGAACCTAGCAAGAACTCGGTCCCTGGCTCGACCTGAACACAAAAGTGGACCTGCACAAGAGGGTAAACACTCTGACGCTCAAGTCAGTATAGGTCGGACTCCGTATTTAGTTCGAGGTGAGATTCGATACCTGAGCGTGAAATGAGACCCTCTATTTATAGGTGGGAGATCCGACAATACTCATAACCGGCGGTTACATGTTTTTTTTCCCATATCGGACCTGTCGGGCTCCGAGTAGGTCGGACTTCCATCAGATCGGACTTCGGCATGTACACTTAGCCTTTTCCCCATGGGCGTTTCGAACTAATAATCAATTCCATAAGTGGCTGTAAACTGAGATCCAAAAGGAAAGAGCTCTGTACTCGAGGGTGAGAAACCCATGAAATAGGTTGTCCCTATGAATAATCTCATTTTTAAATTATTCAACCATTTCATTTTACCAAGTTCAAGTCATCTTTGGTTGGTTAAGGAGAAAAGGTGTTGGTTTAATATTATTAATATTAATAATAATAATATATATATATATATTTATATTTATATATAAATAATTAATATATATAACATATATATATATAATAATTGAAATATAAAAATTAATTTATTAATTAGTCATATTAATTAATAAATAATTATTAATTATTAATCCAATTAATAATTAATATATATATATATATATATATATATATATATATCAAATAAATAATTAACAATAATTATTTATCACAAAAATAGAATCATATTCTATAACATTTCTCTCGTATAACCTATAGTTCTAATGTACATCTTATGCACATTATTTTTAACCTATAGTTTTAATATGAATCTTATTCATATTAATTTTATTTRAATCTCATTCAAATAATTTCTCTCATAATATATAGTTTTAATTTATAATTAACTATATATTATAATGTATCAATATACATAAAATCCCTTAAGTAATTTGAACAATTCAAATTCTTCCAAAAACTTGATCCTCGTTTTACCCGTTATGAGCTAGCAAGGGGACCTAATGGACCTACAGATCCGAAGCTCCAACGATGCAAGATTAATCGGTTAAACTCATTTACCGAGTTAATCTAGATTCGTTAACTACGGGTCATTCCACTAAAGACCCGCAGTTGCACTCTTCTCACTGCAGAATGTTTTCGTGTCCATGGATATACGACCATTAATGACGAGTCAATCCTTCACGAGTGTTCGTAACTCAAGTTGGGTCAAATTACCGTTTTACCCCTGAGTTACATCTTACTCCTTAAACACTACTGCTCCTCTAATGAACAATCAGGTTATGGTCCAACCAACAACCGGAAGTCTCTCTCGGCAATGAGAGGGTGGGGCCCCTTGTTCAAGTCCCGGAGTCAGCATTTAAGGGAACACTTACCTACTCTCCTAAAGTCGGGGAGGAGTGAATTCCATCTTGTGAAGTTATGTTCCCAGCTCCCCACTCGGTCTCGTCTCCAAAATGGTAGGAATGTTGAGTCG